TTAATTATAAAACCAGAACAAAGTATCGGATTTTATTTAAAGAGCCTACTGCTTTGAATAATAGAGTTTCAGTAAAAACCGCTATCCTCACACTTAACATCTTAATTTTTTTAACTTCTCAGGGATATTGCTACATGGACCATGATAAAAATTTGTGTACAAGGATAATTTTAAAAGTCTTGCTACCAGTGGTCCAGTTCATGCATGCCCCAACTTATTCCACGCAAAACATGTTTAAACATGACTTTGTGATCAGTGTGGGTGGCTACAAGCAATTACACTTGTCTTCGCCTCATTAGGGTTCCATCAAAAAAAAAAAAAAGAAACAAAGGATACTTTGGGGGCCATAGGAAAAGCAATTTTAAGGTCAGAGTTAATAATCACATTTTTAACAAAACTCAACTGGATATCTTCCCAAATAATTGAAGCTTTACAAAACAAGTTCACAAAAACAGTAGTTTTTAGATGGAACAAGCATTTTAAGGAAGATTAGGAAGCCCTCAAAGATGAATTCAAGGCAGAGAGAGGTCAGCTTAGCAGGTTATAACTACTGTGTGGTAGAGAATCTCAAAGGGATAATCTTGATAAATGTTCTCAATCATAGGGACACAGTAGGACGGTTTCAGAAAGTCAAAAACCAGTTGCTGAGAACGGGTCCGGGAAAAGTGCACCTGCCCCCCAAAACTTCCCTTCCCTCAACAAGATAACATACCTGCTCATTCTTTGAAGGTAGCTAGGACTGTTAGATGAGAATTTCATTAGGAAACCTTAGCCCCACCCACCTTACAGCCTGGGTCTTGCCCATTCAGGCTTCTTTTTGTTCCTGGAATTCAGAGAACACTTTCTTGGAGGGTACCAAAACCTGCTTGTGAGCAGGAGCAGACTTCTTTGGGGGTGGGTTTGAGGGATGCAGGTACCACCTCCATGAAGGATCCGTCAAGACACAATAATTTCAAATAATTGATATTTTTGTTTAATAATATTTTCTCTGACTTGTACCAACACTTTTTTAATTCAATCTCCTATATGTTAAATATGCTACAAATTTTAAGTTGGCAGAATTTTGCAAAGAGTAAGTGATACTTGTTTGAATTTTAACTTTTAAAAGAGTCACTAATTGCTACAAGTTTGCCACAACCAGTTCAGGTCCAAAAAAATAAAGGGGTGGTGTGTGTGAAAATGTATTAACTTCCACAGTAATGGCAGTACTGCTCTGCCCCTATAATAGACAGACATTAAACAATTTGGGTTTCTAAGTAATCAGTGGTGGTTGCCACTGCTGCTGGCAGAGTTAGAACAATTATGTGGCTGTCCCCTGAGCCATGACTACCATCTCTTCAAAGAGACAAGCCTCTGTTCTGGTAATGTTTTATGGGAAAGCCCTGTGAGTTTATGTTCTCAGTTCAGTTACCTAATAAGCAAATAGACAAGTCTAACTAATATGATGAGATTTAATAAGTTACTACAAATCAGTAAGTGGGACTTCAGGAGAACATGTAAAGGTCCTTCTTGAAACCCATCATTTCATTAGTTAGAAAAGAACTAGTTCTGCACTTCTTAAAGATAAATTAATTTTTTGCTTGGATCACAGTTTCCGATCTGTTGTTGTTCTCACCCGAAAAGTGGAATTTTACTTTCATGTGTATGCCTGGAGATGCCAGCGATAAAGAGCAATTTAATCCAGCTGCTTTAAATATGTATCTGCTTTCCACTGTATTTTTTAGTCACTTACAGAGCTCACATGCTTCCGTAGTCGCCTTTCCTTGTTCCAAAAGAAAACAAGAATAGTAATTATTTATAGGAAAAAACATATGGAATATAATATTAATGATTTTTTCCCCAGCTTGTGGTATGACTCATCTTAACATGGTCCCTGATGAGATGGGGTTTTGCTCTTTACTTTGAAACTGGACATCTAATTAATTGGTATTGGATTTCTGGGTTGCAGGCAAATGGAGGGAGGGAACCAGAAGGGATTGCTCCCCCAAGCAGTCACCCAGTGGGAAAGGGACCATCAGACAATCTCTTGAGTCAAGGTTTTGCATTTGTGAAACTGTTGTTAAAAGATCATAGCTATTTTTTTTTTAATATCTTTTTGGAGGTGAGGCAGAAAAGGGACAGCATTATCATTATTATTTTCCTGTTGTTCTCTTACATGTTAGCCTTTATCTAAAAAGAATACATTAATGACTAAAATGTAGCAAGAAGAAACAATTAAGTTAGGCATGGAGGAGAAAATCTTTTTCTAGGCTCTGAAAATTAAATTTTATCCTCTCTTTCTCTCTCTGATTGAACAGTTCTAGCTATCATAATGAGATTTCATAAGGTTTTTATCACATGAAATTCTGGGACAAGCTTTCCACTGTTGAGCTTACTGAAGGGTATTTTTGTAACAATATATTTTGATGGTTAATGGATGCAAAATATAGAAGAGTAAATATAATCTGTGACTGCTGAGAAAACTGCATAATTTAAAAATATTTAATAGTCTGTTTCAGTATAGTAATGCAGTGCTTACAGCAGTATAAATATATCTAAGAACTTAAGCTTATTTATATCTTGCACATGAAAATAGCATGCTCATTATTGAAATGCTGTGTCAGGATCCCAATATATGTCCAGTTCCCATGATAGTATTTCTCAGAGGACTCTTTTCTTCTTCCTGTTCCTCTCTTTCTTCTCTTTGGCCTTCTCCCTCATCCTTTTATGATGTAGGAGTTCTTTATATATTCTGAACATTAAACTACTATCCAATGTGTGTCTCCAACATTTCCTCCAAAGATGTAGGTTGTCTCATTATTGATAAAGTATATATATATAAAGGAACTTTGTCAACTAAGAGACAACGTACTTCTGGGGAGAGATATTTGTTTTTTCTTTAAGTTCTACTTTTTTCTCCATTTGCATATTTAGTGTTGATAATATACACAGCAAAACATCTACCAGTTCTGTTGTCTGCACAGGACAACTCCAGGGCATCGATAGTATCCTCTGAGTAGTGTCACCACTCTCCCCCTCCTTTTCTGAGCCTTTCTTCCTCTGTTAACAGAAACTCACTGCTTCCTGGGCTTCCTGTCTAACCTTTTGAGTTGCTGTTGTTTGATCCCATAGAGATAGTTCTTAAAAGAGCACAATGCTCAAGACAGGCATTTTGTACTCCTTCAGCACAACTCCTCATTGCTTTAAGAAGACTTCAAGGAATATTTTTTGGTTTAAGGTTTAAAGATTATCTCAGGAATTCATAGTCTTTCATAAATTTTTTATGAAGTCCAGTTTATCTATTTTCTCTTTAGTTCCTCGTACATTTAGTGTCATATCTAATATTCTATTGCTAGAAACTAAGTGGTGGCGGTTCAAGGCTCTGAGCATCCCATTTGTACAGCTGAACGAAGCACGGGCCTGATTTGCTCCATCCTCGCCATTGTTGTGATGTTTAAGCTTATTAACAAATAGCTTGACTCATGATACTAAGCTGTGACATTTACCAACAAGTCACACCACTCTTTATAAGTGGTCACCATGATTTAACTCTAACGAGGTCAGTCAAGAACATAGAAGTTACCGAAGCAGATACAATGCCTTATAAATTTTATTTCTAATCACTGGGCAGTATGTATGGGAATTGCCTAATCCATAATTATTTTATTGGTTCTCTTTTAACTACAAATGAGCCTTTGCAGATTTTCAAAACATTATATAAAGTATTTCCAATCAATAAAAGAAAAATAAATATACACATGTGAAGAGCATGAAAGCAGATTGATCCCAAGTACTAAATGGATATAGCTTCTGTTGTTGTTGTTGCTTTAATTACATTAATAGCATGCAGTGTAAACAAGGATATAATTTATTCAGGTACAAATAATTGCCACACTTTTCCTGTTGTTTTCTAGCAAGTTGTTGATTTGTATTTGTTATGCTTTAAAATCCCTCTCCCACCTACCTCACTTTGGTGGTCTTGAAACAACTAGCTTACACGCACACATATAATGATACATATGCACCTATTTCTACTGCAAACTTTTTTCATAAAATCATCTCATCCTGTGATGAGACACTTCCCCACTCCATCCCCACCCCCGCCTTGTGGACCTGAAAGCTGCCTTGCACATTTCGGATCCAGGAGCACATATGATGCCCTCTGTACTTGATAGAAGAGCAGCACCACTCCAGTTCTCTGGGCACCTGGTGGGCTCCACTTCTCTTAACCTAAATCATAAAGCCAGCCCGCAGTGGAAACAAGCCAACAGCAAAGCCTTTCTGGCCATTTCAAATAAGGATGTGAGTAGAACAGAAGTGGAACAGCTGAAGGAGTGCCATGCATGTGCGGGTGTGGCCGGTGAGGTTCCTTTCTAGTTGTCGTTTAAAAGTGTGTGGTTGCATGTGTCTTTGTGCACTCTACCGGGTTCTGAGCAGCAGACCTCTATTAACCTGTATGGGGAGAATCTATTGAGTGGAAACTAATGGCGCATGTTATATAGCGGTTTCATAATCTAGGGGAAGATGCTCTTGTTGAGGGACTAGCAAGGAGCCCTGGAGGTACACTGGTTCAGCCCTCTGCTGCTAATGGAAGGGGTGCTTTAAACCTACCAACCACTATGAGAGAAAGATGTGGCAGTCTGCTTGTGTAAAGACTCACATCCTTGGAGCCCTGTGGGACAGTTCTCTGTCCAGTAAACTCTATGAGGCCATGCCAATTCAACCATGTTGGGTTGGGTTGGGCTTGAGTGAGAAATGATCATGAAACCACTAACCTCATCCTATCAGCTGCCTGCAAGGAAATTCGAGCCATAGTGAAAAGTTAATACCCTGCTTCCAGCCGCTCGTGCATTCTGCTCTCACCTTCCCCAGTCTATGGTAGCAGGGATGTACCCTAACTTTTTATAGCCACATCTGATCACACTAGATTTTTTTTTAAATCGTCCTAGTAAAACTATTTCTGTGCCATTCTGTCCTTGAAATGACACTGTCCTTTAATACACACTTTATGCTTATTGCAGAGAAAGCAGCAGCTGCCAACATGGATGAAGTGCAGAAGTCAGATGTGTCGTCGACAGGGCAGAGTGTCATCGACAAGGATGCTCTGGGGCCTATGATGCTGGAGGTAGCACACCCTTGTTAGGGTTTGGTGTTTTTAATGTTGTTGATATTCACATCTTTCATACTAATTGGTCGGTGGATGAAAGTTTAAGATAATCCACACTTAAAATTAAATCTTTAGGTTGAAGTACTCGACCTCCTGAGCTCACTAATATTTTAGTGGCATGTTTTCTATGTCTGTCTAGCTGTCTGTCTTCTTATCTGTCCATTCGGCTATCCATGTATGGAGCCCTGGGTGGCCAAACAGTTAATGACTGGGCTTACTAAACAAAGAGTTAAGTTAGTGTTCTGCCCAGGGGTACCTCAGAAGAAAGGCCTGGCACTCTACTTCTCAAAAATCAAAGCCATTGAAAACTGTGAGCAGGTTTACTCTGACACACTTGGGGTTGGCTTGAACTGGCAGCAAAATCAACATAATGACAGCTAGTTTTAAAAGTCCATTTATCTATTATCTGCTCATCTTTGTATATGTTTCCAGCTCCTGTTTAAAATATATGATGTCTATAGGAATATCTGTGCAGTGTAAGTGTGTATAATATTCCAGTATAACAACATAGATTAAATTAAGCTGCATTAGAATATAAATTGTCAGGCTTTAGCTGCCAGTTGCACATTCATTTTAGGAAACCACATTTTACAAGTGTTATTAAGTTCTGTGCTATGGGTGAGGGAAGGGAAGAAATGAGTTGATGCCATGGGCTCAAATAGAAACAAAATGTTTTGAAAAGGATGATGGCAACATATGTACAAGTGTGCTTGACACAGTGGATGTATGGATTGTTACATGAACTGTAAGAGCCCCCAATAAAATGATTTATTAAAACTTTAAAAAAGGAAAAAAAAAGTTCTGTGCTGATCCAAAGGGAGTCTAAAATGTTCCCCAGATTCTTACATCATACATATTCAATGTATAGGTTCCTGTATACACAGGAATACAGCGGAGGACCACATGGGTTGATTCCTGTATACCCAGGAATACAGTGGAGGACCAAATGGGTTGATGTTTTTTTTTTTAGCCGCTTTATTGGCAAGTAATTCACACATATAATTCCAATAGTTCAATCATGTCACAGGATTTTTTTTATGCTACTTCAAACTAATTTATATATCTGATTGAGACAAAGGTTGAAATAATGGGCAGCAGGTCTTTTTTTTTTTAAAGCTCATTTCATTGGGGGCTCTTACAACTCTTATTACAATCCGTACATCAATTGTATCAGACATATTTGTACATATATTGCCATCATTCTTTTCTAGACATTTACTTTCTGTTGAGCTCTTGGGATCAGCTCCTCATTTTTCCCCTCCCTCCTCTTCCCCTGCCACCCCAAGCAAGAACTTTTTAGATAATTATCTTAATGACTGGTCTTAATTTTTTGACAAAACTACTACGTAGAATTTGTAGAGTTCAATTTGCTTATTTTATTAACAAGTGCAGCGTTAGTGCTTTGCTGTACCTAATCAAAAATTAAAACTCAAGATGAGAAAGGGGGAAAACAAAATAATCAGTGGATCTATAGCAAGAAGCAGAGGAGGCCTGAGACATAAACATATGTGAGTTCTTGGGATAATTTACTCTGCTGGTAATAGGAGATTGACACATTCTGCATGGCCTGAAACTTTGCAGTATTGTCAGTGGAAATTTGGTTAGCCAATTATAACGGCCACAGAGATATACGAAATTGTCATTTTTAAGACAATGATCAACCAGTAGTTTGTCTACCTTGTCACCCTTCTTTTTTCCAGTTAGTGTGGAAGATGACTTTTAATTTTAGAAAATGCAGTTCTAATAAATAGACTAGGCTTACTAAGTTAATAGAGCCTGGTGGAACCCTTGAAATGCCTTTAGACACCCTATAAGCCTGGAACTGAACTCATTCCAGTGACTCAACTTTTGGCCAAATAAATGTAGGTCTATCAAGTGAACACTAACACCAGGAAGATACAGAACAAGGAACCGTAAGAGGGCAGAAAGAGATGGGAAGGAAGGACAAAACAAATGGTAAACACAAGGATTCAGTGGGGAGAGTGCTGTTACATTGTGGGTCGGTGTCATAGAACAAGGTGTATATGCATTGTTTCATTGGGAAACTAGTTTGCTCTGAAAACTTTCACACAAGTCACAATAATAAGAAGTTAGAAAAGAAAGAAGGACTGTGTGGTTCTATGTAGAGCTACCTTATAATTTGAGGATTGTTGATGCATTGTATATCCCAGAACTAGCGAGTGGCAGGACTTGGACTGAGCTGGATGGCCAAAAGGCTTTTAATGCCCTTATGTTTGCCCTGGCTTGTCTTCTCTTGACTCGCTGGCTTGAAAACATCCAGCTACAATTTTCAGGGAAAGAGCAAAACACACTTACATTGATTTTTCAAAGTGGACAAAAGGCAGTAGAAGCCATTTTTGCTATGTTTCTGCTTGGCTCCTAGAAGCCGACCATGAAAATGTAACTAGGTGGACCTGAGCATTACATGACAGACAGTAGATAACTTCTTTTGGACGTTTTAAAAATTTCAGACAATTGATTAGAAATTTATGGTAGTCTAAATCATTGCATTTGCAAAATTTCCATATTTCTGTTTCACCATTGGGGGATGGGGGAGGGGTGAGACTTCCTGAGAAGACTTTTTGAGGCATCTAAAATGAAATGCTGGAGTAACCACAAGCCCTTTAAGAATGAGTTAATTCATTGTAGAAATCAATTTGTTATCTCATAAAATCAAGCCTACAGCTTTTGCTATTTCAAAATATATTCTGAGAATTCAATGGACTGAGCAAATACCTGCATGGCAGAACGTTAGAACAGTAATGCTCGAATCTAGTGACTTACGGTTTCAATTTAAACCTTTATTCCTGTTTACACGTAATAATTCAAACAGAGAAAATGTGTTCTTATGGAGCTATTTTTAGGCATAGATGCACACTCATGCTTGCATCATAGCATAGTGGTCGCTAGGCAACAACACCAAATGTCAGCTTTTTGCCATCAGAGCACATCACAGAGAGCTTTAAAAACACAGTGCTGTGAGATAAAACCATTTCAACTTTGAGTTTTACTGTACCACAAATCAATTTATTTACCATGGTGCAAAGCAATAGGAACCAACATGTACTTTCAAAGATGAACAACGGGTAATATAATTATGAAAATCTATTGAATATGTATCTAAAGCAGTGAGTTTTAAAGGTACATAATCTCTGGCCTGCCTTCCTATTCCTCCTCCATACACATGGACACATGCATGCATAGAACACTAATACAAGGAAGGGTTCTCGAGGTGAATGCCAGTGTGTTATCGAATTCCATTTACATATCATTTGCTTTGCCCTCGACATTGTTTATACATTTGAGAAACCTCACCGAATGCTTATGAATGGCCTGAACTAAGTGGTGCTATCATTTGTCTTTCAAACTATCCACTGGTGCCTTGTGGTTACTTCTAATTTGAGAGAGTACTTAGTTTTGTGATGAGAATAGAATCAAAGATGGAAGATGTTCAAAGAGAGCCCACAAAGTTGAAGCCTGTTAAGAATTTCAGGGGGAAACAAATTAAGGGAAATGTAAATACTTTATGCCTTGTTCATACAGATCACAATATAGGTATATACATATATAGTTGTAATGTTCATCTCTAGACTGCTACCTGTCATGAAGAAACTGTGGTACAAACTGGCTAGACCATATACTCCTAGTTCTGGTTAAGAGTTATCAGTATCAAGCTTTTTCTAGTCCTGATTCCTAAACCAAAGCTCTGACATGCAAGGATCAAAGGAACTGAGAAAAGGCAACTACGAAAAACTCCTCACTGAACACCCAACCCGTATCATCACCAAGATGAATGTGATTGGGAAATGGAGCAGGATGTGCGAGTTGGAGTGAAACACTCTGCGCCTAATAAAAGGCATAATAAACCTGCCCCACACTTATTTCTTTTATCTTTATTTTGTAATATGGTCCTAAGATTATTCATCTCCTCCAAACCTACATGATTGAGGAACCTACATATTAACCACCTGAAAAACAAGTAACATGAAAGGACACAGTTCTCACTGTTACAACCAAAACCTCTGACCCTTCTCAGGCTCAGGATAGTCTGAGATGGCCGAGAAAACTAACTTGCTGTAGTGAGATATGCCCCACCCCTTTTCCTTAGACTCTACAAACAGAAAGGAATCCCTGTTTCCTTTATGGTCTGAGCTCATCTGTGATGCTTTCCATTTAAATCCTGGTAGATTTAAAAGTCTTAACTGTTTCTGGTTTTTATTTGTTTCTTTTTGTTTTTCTTTTTGGTCTGGGCATTTATCCTTAAAGTGAGAACAAATTGTCATTGGCCTCCATCCTCCCATTGCAGGACAAAATTACTGTTTGGGGTTAAGTAACATAAAAGTTGCTGTGGGCCCTATAGAGTACATCAGGTTCATTTTGAAAATACAGAGAAGTACCTGTACACTTACTCTTGATAAATAACTACCTCCTAATAAAGTAACAGAACTAGTGTTTATCACTTAGTTTGTGACAAGTAGCTCTGATCTAGGTTCTCTCCCACTTACTGAGATGGGAATCATCTTTATTTCACCAAAAGAAAATGTGATTATTTCTGAGAGATATCAGCGGGGGCAGAGATGGCTTTTCTATCCAACTGTGAATAAGGGGTTTCCTTTAGAGGGGTTGTGTAACAATTGGTATGATTTTATGCTGTCTTCTTTGTAACAGAATGTCTTCCTTTCTCTTAGGCCCTTGATGGGTTCTTCTTTGTAGTGAACCTGGAAGGCAATGTGGTGTTTGTGTCAGAGAATGTGACACAATATCTACGGTATAACCAAGAAGAGCTGATGAACAAAAGTGTATACAGCATCCTTCATGTTGGAGACCACACTGAATTTGTCAAAAACCTGCTGCCAAAGTCCATCGGTAAATGCTTGTCTTCTGGGTCTGCCTTCCTGCGCTCCCCACACAATATTTTGGGTGAGGGGGGATAAGATAAAAGTAGCATTCTGTTGCTTGGAGAAAAAGAGACACTGAGCAGTTTTTCAGTGTTAAGAATTTAGTGGTAGAAGTCATAGAATGGGTGGCAGATGGGGGATGAAAAGGGTGGGGAGGAGATAGATCTCCAGATATTGATCTTGATCATTTCAGTTCTATATTTAAAGTAGGTGAATATAAGAATGATTCAGATGAGAAGCATCCATGTGACAGCAGTTGTCATGTGTTTTATTCTGTTGTGTTTTCAGAAATTGCCACATTGCCTCCCATCCAATCAAATGCCAGATGGCTCTTTTGCTTATCGTCTCTGACCATTTTTTTAAAATCATTTTACTGGGGGCTTGTACAACTCTTAGCACAGTCTATACATACAACCATTGTGTCAAGCACATTTGTACACTTGTTGCCCTGATCATTCTCACAACGTTTGCTTTCTAATTGAGCCCTTGGTATCAGCTCCCCATTTTCCCCCTCCTTCCCCGTGAACCCTTGATAATTAGGGCCTAGTTTGAGTCCTACATGTATAAAAGGTGTGTATG